ATTGGGTCACAGGGCAAATGTGAATTTCAAGGAAGACCAGGCCTTTTTGTCATATTTTATTCTTTGGTGGGATTGTCGATGAAGCAAACGTTTATTTGCTATAACATTCGACCAAGTTAATTTATTTTTCGCATTTAAGTATTGATTTCGCGACTACCTGTCAATTAGTAATATGATATTCACATTTGCCCTGTGACCCAAGGGCACTCGTAGCAATGTGGCCATGTGGTTAGTGTGTAAAGCTCCCATTCTGCACTGTCACGGTACGACTCCCTCTGGGGGTGTTGATAAGACGGATGCGAGGTCGAAACTGCACTCCATCCTGGATGAGAACAACTTTTGGGAAAGCAAGGCTATGTGAAATTTAATGGAAACGTCAGCTCTATTCATATCATTGTGGGAAGATTCTTCTACCAGTCCTTCATGACCTTGAACGAAATTGGTTGAATACATCTCATATTACTATACAACTACAATAACCCAAATTATTATGTACCACTTTCGGTATTACCACAATTCTATATATTTTATACGGATCAATCATCACTTATTTACCCCGAGCATTCTATGCTTTGCATCAGTTGAGGGAACAATATTGAGTTACTAACTCTAATTCGTGATTCCTGTGTTGTGTAACTATTAAAATAATATACATTAGATGAGCTTAATTCAACTATGAGGTAGTTCTGAGTGAAAATAATAGTATTTTCAGATAATTTTACCTTCTTGGCTCGATTTTCAATCCTATGCTATAGTCACATGTGACTCTTGCACTACTAAGGCTCTCGCATTGGTTGATAGCAGCATTATTTGCTACTTGTTTGCTTTATGGGTATTTTGCATGTTTTTCAAGATTTGGGGAGGGGTGGCGTGTAAACGACTTTGTTTTAAATGAAAATGCAACGATCTTTATGCATAATCCACTTGATCATATTTAACATTGTGAATCCCTTTTATGGTCTGTCTCCCTCCTTCACGCACCTCCATCAGGCCTTCCTGTCAACTGTGCTGTCACACTGTGAGAGGCTAGAATGTGAGGCTCAGCGCTATCACACTGCACAGGCTAATTTACCTCTGGCCTGCGGCGATATTGGTCACCAGCATAACCCGAGTCCTGTAGAAAGACTTCTTGTTCCTGCCATGTTTCGATTTCTCGTTGCCCTCACATATGTACGGTCACCAAAGCGTTCGCTCCCTTCCCAAGTCGGTTCAGCTTTAGCTGAATCAGGGCGCGACATTTCTGATTCAAAGGGCCAGGTGACGATTGATAAATCTTCGTCATCTATAATGGTAACAGGCACACTGAACGTTAGTGGAAGTCTTCTAGGCCGGCCGTTTGCCAGCTCTCGTCGGCCAGTGTCATCACTCACGCAGTCATGCTGCTTGGCAAAGCAAAATCCCGCCTCCAAGATTCAACCAAATTCAGGTCCTGGTCGCATCATCTCCATATCTCAAGTGAGTAACATTGTTTTTGCGTAATTGCCTATGCTTGAGATTTAAATGAAAACATAATAAGCCCAAGTTAAGCTTTCCGACAATAATATGTGCAGGTCTCAGAATGCCATTGGCTTTCACAAA